AACCATATAACACGCAGCTCGTAAAATTTTATAATGTGCCATTCGATGCATCTTTATCTGCTCTTTCCAATGGTGAAAACCGCAGCTCTCTATCTTGTTTCTATCAAAAGTTATTCAAAAAATACTCATTCAGTTTTTTTGAAATGAGCGTCAGTATAACCGTGAGACATGCGAAAAAACAGCTCTTAGAGGAATTTCGTTATTATAACTTTAGTTGAAATATGATCAAATAGCATAGAAAAATAGAACATTTTTTTCTCTATCAGACTATATAGAGAGAAATTTCTTAAAGCTTATGTATTATACGGTATTAAAGTGTCAAAATCACTACTCTTGATATGCCCTAAGTATAATGATCGACAGATATTTTTAAATCTAAATTTTGTTTCAACAATATCGAAGTGAGAAAGAAGATCACAGCTAAGTACGTTTGACTCTTCAGATCAACTGAACTTATTTATTTCTGTTTAGTAGAAATAATGAAAAATGATGTTTTAGTATCAACTATTTGTATTAAAATATTATAAAAATGCACCATGGAAATGACTTAAGAGAAGACACGGCAGAATATCTAAACATAGTTTGTTCCAAGTCACGTCAGAGGAATCCAAAAACTGTTGACTTGTTCATCTCTGAAGAAGATATCGCCGATAAAGAAACGAACCTATTAAAGTTCAAACAAACCGGGTCGTTGCTTACGTTTTTTCATAAACGGTGAACAAACAAATCTCAAAGATAAAATAAAAGATCACACTTTCTCGATTGTACGGCTTTCGTTAATATCAAAACTAGGAGAGTTTTATTAACGAGGGAAGGTTCCCAAGTGTTACTCTCACTTTTCAATGGGCCATATCCTCATTTGTTGAGTTCGACGAGCTGATTACAATGGCATAAAGCATTTTTCTCCATGACCGAAGTCCTAGTTTTCTGGAAAATCAGTTTTTCAGAAACTCTAAAAAGTATCCAAAATCTTTCTTAACAAGCCATAATTGTAGCGCGCACATTTCCGATTAAACTGAAACGTCTCCCAGCTCTACAAGACCTTTTTTTGCAAAATTTACAAGAAAAGCCCTAAATTAATTTCTTCTTATTTCTGTAGCTTTGAGCTAACACTGAATATTTGAGACTTTTCTTTTATATTCTATAACTTTGCAAAGAAAGGTCTTGTAGAGGTGGGAGATATCTCCAAAAATGTGTGCGCTATAATTATGTCTTGTTAAGAAAGGTTTAGTTACATCTTAGGATTTCTGGAAACTGGTTTTCCAGAAAATCGAGTCTTCAAGAGCCATGGAGAAAAATGTTTTGTGCCATCGTAATCAGCTCGCCAAGCTCTACAAACGAGGATGTCTCATTGACAAGTGAGAGTCACAGTTGGGGACCTTCTCTCGTAAATAAACAAATTAGAAAAAAAACTAATAACTACTGTTATTTTTAGTTATTGTCGAAGTTATTCTTGAGTTATATTTTGGTTACTTTTACAACTAACTCTTATCAGTCACACAAAACTCGATAGTTACTGTTACCATTAGTAAATTTTATTTTCATAACGTTTATTTCATTACTTATTGACTCAAAGTCTGTCTAATGGTGACGGTAACATCCCGACTCCAAACGGGTAACAAGATCGTAAACTCTTGATAATAGAAATGTTGCTTCTTCTACTTTAAAATTCTTTATAAATCATGCCCGATTATTGCGTCTATAAGAAGAAAATGATTTGAATTTGAGTTTATCTGCACGAAGAAATGTTGTTTTACAAACTGGCATAGTAACGATCAGTCTAAGTTTTCAAAGCTTGGATTTTACTGTAACTAAAAATGATTGTAAAATATTTGGACAGGTAAAACTACTTGCGACAGAATAAATGGTTTCAAAGAAAAAAATAAATAACGAGCAGAATGAATGGATAGGCCGTGAAGAATAGTACTCTCCCTATTTCTTGAATAGCTCTTTTATCCTTCACGATTCAAGCTTTTTTACGATAATTAAAAAAGTTTTCATTCAATTCTTCACAATGATATGTTAAATATTCCACTACATTCAAGGACGATAGAAGGTGAGAGAAATGATACACTGCCTAGCTTCAATAAGTAAAAATTTCTAATAGAAACTTGGAACTTTCTAATTTTTTAAAATATTATTTTTATCAACACGTGAAACTGAAAATACAATATTTTCTTCGAACGTTTTCAAGCGTCCTCTCTCTCTCTACTGATATATAATAGTCACTTTTTCATCTATTTGTCTGATGTACTAAATTGTACTAAATTCATAAGCGTTAGATTAGAGCTCGTTCTCCAAATATTTGATTTCGCCCAAATTTTAAATGAAAATTTATCCAAATAAAAAGAAATAATGGTTGAGAACGAAGATTTTTGACAAAAAAATATTTCTATTCATCAAAAAAAACATTCTATTCAATTTAATCAATTGTGATTAAAAAAATGTAAAAATATAGTCATAGAACTGTTTTAAGCGTTACAAAATGGCTATTGTCAATTTTTTTATATTTTTGTAGAAATAGAAAAATAAAACTGAAAAAATAACTTCTCGATTTCTATGTATTGAAACTACGTAGTATCAGCTTCTTCACCTTTTATCGTCCTTGAACGTAGCGATATGTTTAACATATCTTCATAAAGAACTGAATGAAGACTTTTTTAACTGTTGAAAAAAGTCTAGATAGTGAAAGATAAAAAGAATTATTTGAGAAATGCGAAGAGACTCATTCTTTATGGCTTATCTATTAGTAGAGTGTAGCCATACAATGGTTATTTTATCGGGGCTCTCGGAAGCCACAGTTTCAGAAATCGGAGAAACTTTCTAAACATTTTTTGAGTCAACAATTTTGTGCACAAATGTTTACTCTACAAAGTAAACCATTGCACACTTTCTCACGCTGGTTCATTGATGAGATAACTTACAAAGTTTTTACCTGAAAAACTGAGCGGTTCATAACCGGTCCTATTTTAGAGAAAAAAATTCATATCTGATCGACGAATCATCGTGAGAAAGTTTGCAATGTCTTACTTTGTAGAATAAACATTTGTGCACAAAATTGTCGACTCAAAAATATTTAGAAAAGTTTCTCTGATTTTTAAAACTAGTGCCTTCAAGAACCCTGATAAAATAACCGTTGCATGTCTACTACAGTGTTGAAAACGTTCTCAAAAAAAGAATATATTTCTCTAATAAAACTCGAGAAAAGCTACTTTTTTTTACTGTTAATGTTCATTTAACCCGTCGAACATCCAAGAAAATACATACCATAACGATAGGATTGTGATTCTCCACTCATTCCCACATATTTATCTCGATTTATTTTAGCTTTTCTTCGTTCATCTCGTAGACGATCATCATCTTGAACAAATTCGATAATTTCTTTTACTTTATGACGAACTAGAAGAGAATAGTTTATAGAGTTATTAGTTCTGATATAATTAGAGAGAGAGTCACTTACTATTAATTCCTTGATCTTTGCCTTGTTCATCCGAATATGAAAATGATTCTAATGATTTTAAATCGTACAAATGTTCACGAGCCGATGTCACCACTTTCTCATTGCCATTTTTTAATAAATATAACAATACGAGTAATGACTATAAGAGAACAAAATGAAAAACTAAAGAGTTCATTCAAAAATAAAGTAAAGTTTAGTAATACGAGCTGTGCATCTAGTCAAGAATACTGTCAGATCGATGAAAAAAATTCACAACATTTCAGTAGTTATCGACTGAAATTGTTTGTCTTAAATCTGAAAACAGAAATCGCAGTCTCTCTAGTATGATGGAGTAATAAACGGTGGCCTATCGATTCGTCCTGATTGATTACGAAAGCCCTGTAAAAAGCAGGGTTTTCGTAACGCGGTAAAAATGCATAAATGATCAATAACAGGGCTTTCATAACGATGTGTATAGTAAAAGACTATTGAATAGGACAAAATCAGATCAACCTGTTGATCGTTAGTAACAATAAAAGAACGAGGTATTCGTAACGAAGTGGCTGATAAAAGTAGGAGAGAGTCACTCAGTTACCACTATCTACAGTAGACTCTAAGATCTGTACACTTGTCCTCATTCACTCTTACTTTTTTTTCCATCTTGTTTCACATTCACTCATTTAACTAACTATACCTATCGTTGCGAAAACCCTGTGAAATCCGCTTGCGAAGGTCCTGTTAGATCGATTATCTGACTGAGAGGGATGATATTACATAAATATTAGAGTTACGGAAGCCCCGTAAAACACGATGCGAAAGCCCTGCAAAACAGAAAAAGCAGGACTTTTGTAATACGAAGGCCCTGTAAATTTTCTAAGACGAATCGATATGCTCTCAAATAAACGAATTTGTGAATCAAACAGCTCATAGTATGTATAAATAGAATGCTACGTAATTGACTGAATAAAATTATCGTGCTCGATGACAGATAGTGAGAGTATTGACAGGATGATTATGAATTTTTGTTCTCTCTCATTTTTTTGTGTGCAGGTGGACGAAAGCCATTTGCAAGTAAAAACGTGTGTATCCACCCCAAAAATATATTCCTATAGCGAAACAATGAACTGACTTCTTATCTTGGCGTGAAATATAGGGACTATTGAAAGATACGAAATACAAGACTAGAACTGGCTTGATTTTCTTGTTGAGGAGAGGGCGTATTTTTTTCTCTCCTACAGGATTTTTCGATACTAAATCGGTAGTACAATTGCCAAACAAATATATTGAACTTCACTTGATTTTTTCTATCCGAAGAAAATATTTTCGATTGATAAATGTTCACGAAAATACGGTAGGATGTGTTACACTCTATAAGTTTAGTCTAGTCACTTCTCAATATTCGTCCTATTCAAAATCAATTTCAGTTGGAAGTGCCATATTTCAAAACTCCAAGAACCGCTTATAGTTAGAGAATAGAATCAGTTATCGGGTATAAAGGGTGTCCCACAAGTTCTGAAACGATGAATTTACAAATTGTTCTAGAAAAAAAACATTCCCTACTATACTAAACGATAGACAATTTAATTCTCTACAAGATTGTATATTCATTTTTGATGTATGACACAGTAAGTCTAACAGGAAAAGCTCCAAACTTCTTAACTGCACCTTCAAAAAGTCGATTTGTTGCGCAAAAACTCGCTAAAAATCACTATTATTCAATAAAACAACGTATACCGAAAAATTCAGCAAGAAATTTCCTACAGTATGATGTTTTGTTTTTAATGACAAACAATGAGATTTTTAGATAAAATCAGAGCGAAAAAGAGTCTTTAAAGGGTCATCTTAGCGACAACGAGTATTCCCTAGTTTTTCAGGTAACAAAAAATAGCAGATTTATTTGTAAGTTACACAATTTAATAGAGCGCGAAATTCTATATTTTTTGGTCTATAAACTAATGGTTTGAATTTTGGATTTTATACTTAGGGCATACCAAAAGTACGGGCAGTGACACTTTAATACTGTATAGTAGGCTTAAAGTAACTTTCGTCTATATAACCTGATAGAGAAAAAAAAGCTCTGTCTTTCTATGCTATTTGATCGTACTTCAACTAATATCATAATATTAAATTATCTTTAAAACCTATTTCGGCTGATTATGTGACGGTTGTTGTATTCATACTAATTTTGAGAAAATAGGAATGAGTATTTTTTTGAATAACTTTTGATAGAAGCAAGATAGAGAGCTACGATTTCCACCGTTGGAAAGAGGAGATGAAGACGCATCGAATGATATATTATAGGTTTTCTTGATCTGTTTCTTGTAAGGTTTTCAATTGGCCTTTTTAAGAATAAACATATTTGATAAGTTGTTTACAGTGAATTTTCAATTATCAAGTGTAAAATTCAACCCACTAATCGAAGATCTACAAAGTGCGGAAGGCTGAGATGAATAATATGCATTTTAGTTGAGCTTCTAATAGAATTTTCTAGCAAAATCTGTGAAAAAGCTCGCTTTTGTGCTTTTTCCATAAAAAAAAACATTTTTCTGACATTTAGAAAATTGAACAAAAATACTTCAGAAATCAATATTAGAAAAGCCTATAATATATGATTCGACGCATCTTTATTTCCTCTTTCCAACGGTGAGCACCGCAGCTTTCTATCTTGTTTCTATCAAAAGTTATTCAAAAAATACTCGCTAGCATTCATGGAACCGGGGCAGACTTGCGAACAAAACGGATCTTATCAAAATTTTATTATTATTATATTAGCTGAAGTATGATCAAATAACATAGAAAAATAGAGCATTGTTTTCTCTATCAGATTGCATAGAAAGAAAATTTCTTGAAGCTTAATATACAGTATTAAAGTGTCAATGCCCATACTTTTGATATGCCCTAAGTACTAGAATAGTCAAAACTTTTTTTTAGTGCTAGAAACGTCGATGGCCTTGGAAGTTTATGTATTAAAGCCACTAGCAATTGAAATAAATTTCTTTCAAATAAACGCTTTTCTAAAGCATGAAATTCTTCACCATTAGACTGTAATAAAATTATTTCAAATTTTTTTGTACTCATTATAAGCAATTAAAAAACAAGAGAGCAATTTACACTTTAAAATTGCGTAGTACAGTTAAAAAATTCGGAGCTTTTTTTGTTAGACTTACTGTGTCATACATCAAAGATGAATCTTAAAAATGAATATACAATCTTGTAGAAAATTTAATTGTCTATCGTTTAGTATAGTAGGGAATGTTTTTTTCTAGAACAATTTGTAAATTCATCATTCTAGAAATCGTTTCAGAACTGTCGGACACCCTTTAGTTCTATCATCTTTCTCTCTCATAGCTTTCAAACTCACACTCATGAAACATCTTACTTAGGCTATAAAGATTACTTTTGCTATATTATTTCCACTTTTTCTCTCTCTTTTGTTGTTTACTTTATTTTTTCTTCTTTGTTTGTGAAAAATCGATATCCTCTTTTTTCTTCTTCTGTGTCTTCAAGTGAACGAATGATGTTTACAAATTTTTCTAAACTTTTTTCATTATCTCGTCAACGATAGCTTGACTAAATAAACATTTGTCTCTCTGACCAAAAAAATTCTTAAGTATGTTTTTCAGTTGTTAAAAAGACCGGTGTTAAACGATGTTTACCTTATATGTTCTTCTCCAGAATTTTTTTTCTGGTTGGAACATTCTCTTCCATAACATTCCCATCACTTCAGTATAATGTTCATACGAATACGATAATTGAGATATTTCTTGCAATAATTTACCTATTTCAAACAATGAACAAAACAAGCATGTTAAAAATAATGAAAGTATGTAACAAACGAGTGGATGTCAACAGATTGTGATTTAGTGCTTTTGAACTAACGCTTATAGACAGAAAGCGATCGAATACGATTCATTTCGTCCAGAAAATAAAAGTAACACACCGGTTTCACTCAAGGTATAATACCCTAGTGGGACGCGAAATTTTAAGGAACAAATTTTGCAAATATCAATTCTTAGCACGATAAAGCATTCGTTTCGTCAATAGCCGTAAGTTGAAGAGTCAAGAAACTCATCATTATTTGTTAGAATAGCCATCGTTTTATTATACCTGGTGGACCCCACGATTCATCGTTTGTTGCTTCGACAATTTTTGCTTCCGATTCGGTGTAATTCATAACAATGTTGGTCACTTTATCAACGAGTTCTCTTACTTTATATGGCATTGTGGGTAGATAGCTCCCCAGATTTAGTTTATTTAACGAATCCATTTTGTCTCACGTTCACGCACAAAGACGAAGATTAATAAATAAATTAAATTAACTTATAGAAAGAGATAGATTCATAATCAGGATGAGATTAGAGAAGATGGTATCCGATAAAACAACGACGATTCACCGTACTCACACAGAAAGTCAATAGGAGAGTAAAAGGACCTGTCAATGCAAGGACGAACAGCGGCCATTTTGCCTTTAAAGTATAGAAGACTTTCGCCAAATAGTTTTGAATGTGTATCTGTGCTAGTTTACTTCCCAGAAGAGACGGAAGCTACTATTAGATAGAAAAACAGTATATACCATTCTCATTTAGTAGAATCGAAGTGGCGCCACAGCCTATACGACGAAAATTTCTCATTTTCTCAAAGTATAGTGGTTTTGAGCTAGAAAATGATATTTACGATTGTCTAAGCATTGCTGGCTGATCAACTTTCGCAGTTCTACACGTATCATATTAATTTAAAAACAACCATTTGATAAGAGAGGAGTTAATGCTTGAATAAACCTCGTGCGACACCATTTATGCGCCAAATTTATTGGTTGCTCTTTAATACAATCAAAAAATATCACAGTTGATCGCTCAGCAAGGTTATCGGCAGTGTTTCTAACATTACGCGTACGCCTTTTTTCCAAAGCGTACGGTACGCGAACTAAATTGAAAATATGCTTTGTATCAACCAATAGGAAAAGACAGAACGATATAAACTACGAATTACCACGCTTATCTAAGCGCTGCTCAAAATTCTCATTAGAAACCCTGGTTATCGGAAGTTTATCGTGGAAGCTAGACGCAAAAAAAGTTGAACGCAAATCTGAAATTTCTATCAACCATCGCAGAGCTCAAAATCTCTTTAAAAATGATGGATACCTTAATTAAATAAGAAAATAAAAGAAAGTCCTTGTGATTTTTTATTCGGACCCTAGTGGAAATTCTTGAATCAAGAAGCTGCAAGAAAGTGGAACATTTCTCGCCTTCTTCCCTCAAGATCTTGGGCCAAGAAAATACTTCTTGCATTTCTTAATGCAAGATCTTGAGACAGGAAAGCAAAAACTACCAGTCCTGTCCTTCTTGCCTGCAATAAGATTATTTTTTGTGTTTCTTGACACAAGAAATGGATTCTTTCAAGAAAGCAATAAATATTTTACCCGTTCTTCGATTTCTTTTATCCTATGGTCATTTTAATTTCGGTTAAGAACATTTCGGCGATTTTAATATTTTGTGATGTCACTGAGAAGAAGTATTCCCAAGCGCATACTTATAATTTCTTAGTATACACAAAATTTTAAGCCCTATCCGAATTCAAATGTTTTGCACTTCGGAAACATGCACAATCCGAAATATACGAGTTTTTAGAAAATTTTAATTAGGACAAAAGCCCACTTTTTGACTTAAGAACCATTATCTGAGAGAAGCGAACAGTTACTCATAGGTACTGATTATTTAGATCATAGTTTTAAATGACTAAATGAATAATGAAATTGTAGGTCTATGTGTAACTAGACAATGGTAGCGTAAACAAATAGCGTCACTTAAAACTGTTTCGTTCTCGAGATGTCGATCGAGAAATTGATCATTCTCATTACGTTTAGAATTAAGTTTTTTTCACCTATGCAGACCAGCTTTAAAAGCTATCTTTTAATATGAATTTAGACTACAAAACACGGACTATCTTTTTCGCCCCTTTACAGATTTTAAAACCGCCCCGCCGAAATAGAATTCTTGATTTAAACGTGAGACACAATAACCCGATTTTGTCTGTGCGCGAAAATGTTTGTGGCTCAAGTTTTATATCACAATGTAGGCCACACTCGGATATATTTAGACAGAAGATTTTGGTTTCTGGCCTATTCTTTTTCCTAGAATGTTTTTCAGAAATTGTTTTTTCAGAAAATCCAAAACCGTGAAGATCTCCTTCGAACACTTTTTCGCCCTCTCCAGGTTGTAGCGCATAAAATTCTGATAAAAATGAGACGTCTTCCATCTTTCTACGTGGTTTTTTGAACGAGATGCGAATTTCACAAAATTCTCATAGGAACCTGTTTACCTGTAAATTCCAAAACGAGGGTGATTTTTAAAGAAATTCCTAACCGTTTCTGTTTCATCGTAAAAACTTGGTTCGTGCGTAGATCGATAGAGAAATGTATGGACAATATTTATTGAGAGAAAAAAGGATAAAAGTTTGTTTTTTCTTCCTGTTATTGACTAATTAACTCGAATCATCATTAATTTATACTACACTACTCTCTTAAAGTTCTGTTTCTAAAATAAAGACTCAATGAATAAATTTAAGCGATACCTCATCTGATAGAGAATTTCACGGACTATACAACAAGCTATCTGAAAATCTGTTTGCACCCCGTCATGAAGTTCAAAGTAGAATTCATTTTCAGAGAAAGAGGCAATTTGAGGAATATTCCACAAATTGTCTCTTTCCCTAAAAATGAAATTTCTCTATCGATCTAGGCAAGAACCAACTTTTAGCTAAAATTTCAGGGATATCGTATTTTTCTGTCCGCTAAACGTGATTATAAAATCGAAAAAATTAAAAACTGAAGTTTTTGTCCTGAAGGTTTTTAGAAATCCTTTCGGAAGACCACAGGGTTTTATAAATTTTTTCTTGTTGATTTCTTATAAACAGAATATGAAACAGCCCAGATACTATAATGGAAGAAAGGAAGGAGGACACCGTTTTTCAACAAGAAAGTTTCACTTTCCTAATAGATATTTATACCATCTTGCAAGAATTTCCGTTTTTCCAACATGCACGTGCTAGTCCATCAGGTATATTCTTGATTGACTAAATAGAAATTACGAAAAGAGAACAATGACTTTTTGGATTTTTCTTGTCATTTTTTTGAAAACTCATCATCCGACATGTTTGACTTTCTAACCGTACAAAATGCACACGAGTAGAACTGAGAATTACTGAAACCAGTGCAATTAGAATCTAATCTCAGTGAGATTATAGTCCAACATGCGATAGTGCAAATACATCAGTCAAAGTCGTCTGTAATGGCTCCGACGGCAAAAATAAAGTGAGAGTCATTCAGTCTGATTCCGTCAAATCAGTGCATGGTATTCGTTTCGACGCACAAGAAAAATTCATGCTAATGTCCGAAAAAACACAGAAAGAGAATCAGAGCATGTCTTGTCACCAGCTCTTCGATATTGCTAGTTTCTTCTCATGCAGTCTATCAATCATTTCTTCAATAGTTTTAGTGTACTGATGCTTCGATTTCTTCGCAATTTCATAGGCTATAGTCACATTTTCTAGTGCTTTCGAGTAGTTCTCTTGATACTCATACACTCGTCCAATGTTCTCATATGTCACTGCCAGTAAAGGATGAGCTGGTGGTAACGAACTCAGTTGTATCTCCAGTGCCATGTGAAGATATTTCAGCGCTTGTGGATACTCATTTCTGTGATAATGCACACCACCAATGTTGTTATATGTAGTCGCCAATGATGGGTGATTCGCAGGGAGAACTGCTTGCTGAATATTCAAGCATTTTCGATAGTATTCTAGAGCCTTGTCAAACTCCATCTTCTCATCATACACAATTCCAATATTGTTGTACATTGTCGCAAGATCTGGATGATCTGACGAAAGATGGATGACCTCTCGTATTTTCAGTGCTTTTTCCATGTTCATCAGTGCCTGATCCAAATCACCCTCTGCTCTGTAAGCAATGCCAATGTTATTATGTGTTGCGACTAGTGATGATAAGTCTGCAGACATGGATTTCAGTTGAATCTCTAGAGACTTGTTGTAATACACTAATGCCTGATCATTGTTGCCTCTTTGTCGACAGCGCAACCCAAGATTGTTATAAACAGCTGCAGCATCATGATCATTTTCACAACTAGTCTCAGGCATCATCAGATAAAGCTCTTCTTTCTTATATTCACCCATCTTCTATGCTAAAAATTCAGAACAAAGTCAAGATAAGTACTCTTTTATAGGTAGATTCTAATGCTGATTGTGAATCTTTCGGAGCAAAAGTAGACGCATATTTTCGGAGAAAATCAACATCAAAGTTGAGGGTTTTGGGGAACATTAATTCTTCCAGGTCTTATAACTCAAAAACTACAATAGCTAAAATATTTTGTTCAGTTACCATGGACTCAGTATGAAATAAACTTCATTTTGACTAAGTTTATGTTGTATCAGTTTTTGAGTCTGTGCAGCAATTATAAAGGACGAGCACGGAAGGGAGGTCCACTCTCTTTTTCAAGTAACAGTGGTTTCGTGTCAGGGAAAAATGCACCAGTATTCAGCTTCAGATGAAATCAGATACATTCTTTTTTATCCCGGTAATTCCTCAACAATACCATGCCAACCTGCATCCTCAAGACAGCACCCACATGATAAGTAAAACGGATTGTTTTCAACTTTCTTGCACTCATACGCTCTTGAAATTCTCTACAAACTGACGACGGAACCTCTCGAGGTGATTAAAAGCTTTTCGACTCAAACTATTTTCATCATGTAGGGAATAGTCAGTAGTGAAAAACCCCAAGTTGGTTTGGGCCCATGCGCCTTTCTGACGGAGATATGAGTTAATTAATGAAAATACCATTAATAATAATTAATTAATAGCTCACGACCATGATCAGCTAGGAGTCGGAAATTTACACCACAGTTGAAGATAGATGTTGTCTACTCACTGCGACACTTTTAGGCTTATAAACCAAAGCTTTTG